CAATAATTTTAGCTTGAGACTTAACGGAAAAAATAAAACCTGATTATCATGTCTGGACACTAAATTCCTTCATTTATTCCTTACTTTATATTCCCTAGACAGTTAAGCAATTTGCCTATTTCATTTGGACAGGCTTTGAAGGTTAATTAATAAAGCGCACCCTGCAGCATTGATAACTTTACGTAAATTTGCCAGAGTATTCACTAGAAGATCTGTTTAGCTTGATCGTTGTAACACTAAATTATTTATTATTTACATGGATAGTAGACCATCACTGTACTAGCTTGGCAAAATCTACACAAATTATAAAAGTTACTATGCTTCTAAAAGCATTCACATACACATAGGATTACTATTACTTAATGAATGCTTTTAGCAAGTAACTGCAGACAATTTTATATAAATCATAAAACAAAAAAGTTTGTAAATCTTTTGCCATTATAGACCATAAGGTAGACCGTCACACCTCCACTAAAATATTACAAGGTATATTAAATATTAAAAAGGTAAAGCCAACATGTTTGGATATTAATACTCTTTTTTAGATCCACTTCATAAAATCTGACCTTGAAACATTCAAATCAAATGAGAAAAGAGCATTGTAACATGGACTCAAAAAGTGGATGAAGCACCACAAACAAGTAGTGATGTATCAAATTAAAGAGAAATGATTAGAGGTCTATAGGAGAGGTCAGTGATGTTGTTCAATATTTATTATTACCTATCTATCTGGAAGGGAAAGTAAACAATATTTTCACTGAATAACCTTTGTGGTTTCTTTAGAATTAGCAAAGGAATGAAAATCAGGCTGGAAGCTATAACGACTTAAAACTTCCTGAAAAGGAGATTTAAAATATTTTAAGGAAGGAAACCACTAGTTTCCTGCACAGGTATAGTTGCAAATGAATGCACAAAAGGAAAAAAACAAGGTGCCCTGCTCATCCATGTCAGCATTTTGATGTGAACATAAAAGGTTCACATTTATGCAAAAAAAGTAGAAACGAATTCTTCTGAATATCTACTCTACAGACTGGAAGGCAAATCCAATGAGACTACAGCTGCACTTGTTCATGATGCTAAATGTAATAGTTGGCATAGATTGAGATCAGAGGAAGAATTTAAATGTGCAATAAAATTCAACTATCAAAAGGGTCATGTTCCAAAACACACCCTAAATCTCTCTCTTTTCCAAATTCCCAAGTAACAGCCTAAAGTAAGTAATAATACGTGGTACCTTTTGAAACTAATGCTAGATAGAAATAACAATATTAACAGTACATGCACACGCACAGACACGTGCACACAAGTGCGTGTACAATCATGAAGGCACTTATTTCGTTGGATTAAAAATTCATCTTTTAATCTTCCATGATGTCTCAGGAGACAATAGGTTATTAGCTTATTTTCCAGAAATCCCAAAAATGTGCTTCATTGGCTACTTTATCTACTCTTATTAACCAACTTATTTTTCCCTAATTATTGTTATCCAATTTGGCTAATTTTTTTGTTTATATTACTTTTAATTAAGCATTCACATAAAGAATATGAAATTGATAAAATCCTATAAACTCTGCAAAAGACATGCTCTCTTAGTTCCTCCTAAGTTGTTTATGGCGCTCAAAGTTGTTCAGTGTGACTCTGGAAGACAACTGACTTCAGAAGAAAATACATATTTGATCACTGAAAATATGTTCCTAAAGCTGTAAACTGAAATTTTAAAAAAAGAGGAAAGTTTGAAAAATTCCTGTTATTAAAAGAGACATATGGGGCACCACTTTTGTAGTCGTGTTCCACACTTCTCTGCAGTACCAGAATAAACCTGGCTCGCATCAGATAGTCACTGCCCCATCCCTACGGAGATCATCAGTACTGCCCCCCAGGAGCTGGCAGCTCTACCTGCTTCTACCCTATCAGGCTGCAAGAGGCCAAGGGAGAGCAAATCAGAAGCTCAGCTGAGGCTAGGGAAATAGTTAAATTAGTGAGCATAACCTCTTGAACTTTTTGTAGTAATATGCTCAACCCTAGGGCTAAAAAGGTTAAAACAACTGACTTGAGTTGGGGGCAGGGGAGAGTAGACTCATTCACCCCAAGAGCCAGCATTATCCAGCAAAGCTGGATGCAAGAAGATAAAAAGTCAGTGAGTTCTTATAACCGACTGTCTTAGCCCAGCTGTGTCCTGTCTCAGTCCATAATGGGAAGCATTCACAAACCAAGCCCAGTTCAATAGGTGCTTGAACAGAAAGGGAGGGAAGCCGAAATGCCTGTAGATCATTTGCAGTATATGATTTGGACTCTGAATGTACAGGAGATTTGCTCCAGTGTCTCGCACAGGGGGATTCCTTCTCTGGTAGGTCCTAAGTAAGAAAAGGTAGACTGGCATAGTGAACATTCACTTAGAAAGGACTTTCAAGAGAACAAGCAGTGGACTTATCAAGCCAGGTTTTTTTTAATTGGGGGGGGGGGGGGTTTTTTGTTGTTGGGGGGGGGGGGGGGTGGTCTATAAAATATAGCCAGGGTTCAAATTACGTACTTTGACTCTTGGGGGATGGGGGGGAGGGGTCTGCAAAAAAAATTGGGCTGCCCGTCACAACGACCTAATAAAATCGGAGACCCCCCCCAAGTTATGATTTTCAAATCTTATGGGGGGCTCGTCTCTGATGGGAGGGGGGCTCAGCCCCCCTGAGCTCTCCCATAATTCAAACCCTGAATATAACATCTACATTAGGAATGGACATAGCCTGGTGTTAATGTGGTCCTATTTGATGTGAAATCCTGGGCCTCTGCGGTAAAGGCCTTCCTCCAGATCACGTTATGATTTAGTTACACTGCTTCAGTTATGCTGATCTATAGTTGCCATTGAAAACAACTGAGTTTTAATAAACAAATTTAACAAAAAGGAGGGAAGCTGAACGTGTACTGCTCCATACATTAACCATACCATTCTATATTTCTCTTTAGACTACCTGTACTGTTTGCTAATGTGTACTCTGATCTCCACAGGGAGTTTAATATGTTTTGAAATTTAAAAGAGAGAATGCTATACCACTACAGATTCCACCCCCCACACCTGCCAGTTCAATAAAGCCTATGTTGAAAGCCACAGCATGCCGGAGGTGTATGTTCTCCTGTACTGTACAAGGAGCGCGCGATTGATTTTTCAAAGTACAGACTATGTAAATGCCAAAAGCTTCAGAGAATTACAGTAATTCAAATTCTGTTATAATAAAAGCAGTATTATACAAATAATGCCCCCAGGACATATAAAAAGAAAAATGGATTTTGGTGCTCTGGCTTTTTAAAGGATCATCCCTAGAAGTGTACCTCCATAATAAGTTACTATAACCAGGACAAATATTCTAGATAACGTAAATTACCTAACAGAAACAATGAGTACTTAATTTGTATATAGTCCTAAACCAGACTACACGTAATATGCACCCCTTAGTTTTAATTTTTCAGCTGTTTGTGAACATATCAAGCTAGTCGAAAAGCAGAAGTCATCAAGAAGGTGTCTCTGCTACAGTTTCTCTCAGAGACCTGCAATCAATCCACAGAAGAGTGGTGAAAGAAATCCCTAATGAGTGGAGAGTGGTGAGAGAAATCCCTAATGATTTTGTCAGCATACATTTTTCATAAAGCGATTATCCCCAGAAGCCTTTAGCTTCATAGGACTCCCCACTACCTTGTGTAATTGTTTTCCTTATAGGCTTGGCAACAATTACCACTGCTGTAGGACTGAGTACATTCATAAGCAATACATAACACTGGTCTCATATCTGGGGCTTTTATCACTAATTGCCTATAAAACATGCTATTAAAACTGGGATAAACAAGATTGTAAAAAAATCCACATAATGGATTATGATCGCTTACAAAAAGTGTTTCAAATATCAGATTACATTTTTCAGAGTTTTATTCATAATGTGCCTTTTTCCTCAAACTATAATAGGGATAGTTATGATGGGGAAAAGGAGTATAATTTAATAAAGTATGTTATGTACACCCTACCTTTTAAAAAGGAGGGTACTTCTGTCAGGTTCTCTTGTTGCAACTGATCATTAATACATCTTACTAGATATTCTCATATTTACAAATCAGTTCTAGTACAAATGTAAATTATGCTATGGAAATAACTTACTAAAACAGGGGAATTATAACCAGATTTCAAAACTAGAGTAGAAATTACACTTGCCACTTCCTGCAGAATTGCCACAAATCTCAACATCACAATATAGTAGGTGAAAGAGAAACTCTACATATGACAAACCTTTTGTATTAAAACAATGAAGTTAGAAGTACTACATATGATGGTTAGAAATACATATGAATTCATATTTTAACGTAACCAACATATGAAACCTCTCAATTGCATCATCTGAATAATATCAGTTGCTACTGAAATACAAAGGCAAATACTTAAAAACTGTAAATACTGTATGAATATACAGCTCCCTTTAAAAGATAGCACTGGATGACATCCATCTTTCTTCAGAGAATAACACTTTAATTGCTTAAGAAGCTGCATATAATTGCTATAAACTACCGTGTATTCAAATTAATCTCTAAATTTATAGGAGACATTGATTTATCCTTTCTAAGTATGAAAAGATCCAAGTTTAGATTCCTATAAGCTGATTGCACTGTAATAACACATTTAAAGTATATATAAATATATTTTGTTGTTTTTTTAAAACTACAGATAATACCCTTTTGTATTAAAAGTGCAGAACGGTTTCAGTTATCTTCACTGAACCAGTAAAGCTATTTCTGTAGTTTCAAAGGAAATCTCTTTTGAGGACTAACCCCAAATCAACTGAAGTTAGAGAAGATCTTTCCATCAGCTTGAAAGGACTAGAGATCAGATCTGTTCAAAATAAAACAATTCAAGATTTTCCATACAATATAGGTTGACTCATAAGAAAAACAACTTTTGGAAAATGTAGTAACACAGAAATGCAAAACAAATTAACAAAAAAAAAAAAAACCCAAAAAAAACTTACTTTGTCAGATGCTTCAGAAGCCAGAAGGTTAGTGGCAAGGGTCTGTAATTTCTGGTGGGCCATATTTTTTAAAGCAGCAAGGCTACGTCTAGTCATGGCCTGTTTCAGGTTTACAGCTGGGTGACTGAGGGAGTCTACTGCAGCAGGAACTGCCTCATCACAAGCATTCAAGATCTCAACAGCTGTTATTCCCATCACACAACGATCCAGTGCACCTTGAAAACATTTTTACATCCAGCATTTTAGTGCAAACCATTCAGATTGTTAAAAAAAAAAAAAAAAAAAAAAAGAGAGAACAAAGTCAGAGGGGTATTTTAAATGACAACTTTATTAATAACTTTCCCATCACACTAGGATACCCGAGCAGTTACAGGAAGAAAAAAAACCCAACCAGCAAGCTCACTATATATTGATCCTGTAATAAATGCACACTTTTACCTACCACATTCAATTAAAAGCTAGTTTTTTTGTTTTTTAGCTGTTTCCAAAACTTTGCCAAACTATCTCTTGTAGTTTAAGCCTTAAACCTTGGTGCTTTAGGAAAGCTACCTGAAATGTAGCAGGCTCACACCCTTGGGACAAATGATGAACCAAACTGCAGAAAAAATTGTCACTTCTATATGCTTATTGCTGCTTTTTCAGAGGCTTGCTGGTAAAATATATGAAAAACTTCACCTGCATCAAATATGCTCCACAGTCTCACAAAGCTTTGGCTCCAAATAGGACCCAGAAGCAGAAGGCATTGTAGTTAGCTTTTTGTTATCTTACTCAAAGGAGTCAGATACCACAAGTTTTACGGGTTCAAATGTGGTCAGCACTCAAATGCAAGTCCTTCAAGAACAATGCAGGTTTGCTGCACAAATGGGTGCTGGTTAATGTTGACTCAAAAGACAAGTGTCACTAAGCCTATGCTCCTAAACCAGCATTAAGTGACTTCATGTTGGCAGACACGCCATCTGTCAGACAAGACATAAAAAGGGCTCCAACTGTAAACAAGAATTGGGAACTTCTTGAATCTCTAGTGTTATGGAGGCGTTATTTTAGGCAATTAGATTCTGCATTTTCACATTTTTATATAGTTACTTAAATATTACTTACAACTTGGTAATTAAAAAAAAAAAAAAAAAAAAAAATCTACTCCAGTTCTCATAAACAGAAATATGTAACCAAAATGACTTCTGTAATTAAAAGATACATGCAACCTATTTTTCCCTAGCTAAGTACACTCAATTAATAGGACTATAATTGCCTCCCATATTAAACCACATCCTACTGTGCAAATGTTCTTAGTCGCAGGTGTAGCTGACGGTAAACAGTGGGTGGACAGGCAGGTGGGGGAGCTGGCTGTGTAGTCTTCCCTGTGCTCCCTCACTAACATGGTTCCCCCCCACCATGCATTTGTAGCAAACCCCCCCGTTTTTCTTTTTTTTCTTTTAAAATGCATTCCCTCCTCTTCCCCAACCATTTCTGACTTTTTCTTTCCCTCTCTATTCCCTATAGATAAGTATAAAAGTGAGCTAAGACATAGGATAAGCTTCAGCATTTTATTTTGGTAACAAGTTGTATTTGTTTTTTCTCCTTCGTTATATTGTATAATTACTATGTTTATATTGATTTTTACTGTTCTATATTACTGTTTTACTGGTACTATATGATTTAGGCCTACATTTGTAAGTTAGCATAAGCCATGTCAAGTAAGGGGGCAAAAAAGCCCCCTTGGCTGAACAGGGAACTCCAGGAGACTCTGGGGGCAAAGAAAGAGATGTATACGCAATGGAAGCAGGGAGCAGCCACCAAGGAGGAATATATCTCCCTGGCACGCTATTGCAGGGAATCAGTTAGACAGGTCAAGGCGGGGCTTGAGCTCAGACTGGCTTCAACAATCAAGGACAATAAAAAGTCCTTCTTCAGGTTTATACCGGGCAAAAGGAAAGCTCAGAGCAACACAGGGCCCCTGCAGGACAAACCAGGACAGTTGGTGGTTGACGCAGGGAAAAAAGCAGAGCTCTTCAATGAGTTGTTCGCTTCAGTATTTCTATGTACCGACCAAGCCAATTCCCCCACGTCGATCACTGACGGATGTCCACATGGTACCAGTCTGCCTATGGTTAGTTCTGAAATAGTTAAGGAGCTCCTGGAGAAGCTGGATGGGTACAAGTCAGCAGGCTCGGATGACCTCCAACCACGGCTGCTGAAAGAATTGGCCAGTGTCATAGCTGAGCCGCTGGCACAGCTGTTTGAGCACTCGTGGTGCTACGGCCAGGTCCCTGAGGACTAGAGAAGGGCCAATGTGGTGCCCATTTTCAAGAAGGGGAGAAGGGATGAGCAGGGTAACTTTAGACCAGTCAGTCTTACCTCTATTCCTGGGAAAATGCTAGAGTAAATAATCAAAGAAAACATTTGTGCAGGCCCAGCAGGGAAAAGATGCTGAGGAGAAACCAGCACGGGTTTGTCACAGGTAGATCCTGCCTGACAAACCTTGTAGCCTTCTATGACCAGGTAACATACTGCCTGGATGCGGGAGCCGAGGCTGATGTCATCTTCCTAGACTTTAGGAAGGCCTTCGACATAGTTTCGCACCCTATCCTCATTGGGAAGCTAGCAGACTGTGGAGTGGATGCCTACACGGTCAGCTGGGTGGCC